ATTATAATACAAACGATTTTTAGAATGGGTAGGGTGTGGATCAAGGAATTGGCAAGCAGGAATGCATTTCCCTACTAGATTTGCTGACCTAAGATGATGCCAAGCCTATAAGCAAATGTCTGGGGGCACCTTATTTGATGTGTATGGTTAATGGAAATTATGCTGTATTGGGGAATTGGAGAATAAGATTCATCAACATCAGCATTTAGAGAATGGAGAGTGTGTTTTAGATTGTGAATTCTTTAAGAAATGTTATAGGACCTAAGTCCTTTTTGGAAAGTCTCCGAGTAAGTTACTTAAGTTTTTTTTTCTCTGAGATGGAGTTTCATTCATTGCTCAGGCTGGAGAGCAATGGCACAATCTTGGCTCACTGCAACCTCTGCCTCCTGGGTTTAAGCAATTCTCCTGCCTCGGCCTCCCAGGTTGCTGGTCTTACAGGCGCCCACCACCATGCCTGGCTAATTTTTCTAGAGACAGGGTTTTACCTTCTTGGCCATGCTAGTCTCGAACTCCTGACCTCAGGTGATCCATCCTCCCCGGCCTCCCAAAGTGCTGGGATTACAGGCGTGAGCCACTGCACCCAGCCAGTTTTTTTTGTTTTGTTTTGGTTTTGGTTTTTTTGTTTTGTTTTTTAACTAGTCCACATAGGGACAAATTGAAAATAGAACAGAATTGGCAAAAGTAACATAAGTGGTTAATGTTCAATAGATACTTCAACTTTCTGTTAATTTGATGTTTCTCTGTCATTGCTGTCATTGTTCTCTAGTGATATTTTCCTTACGTCTGCAGTAGTAGTCTAGATAAAAACAAAACTGTAAATGAAAAATTTTAAAGGGATTTTTAAAACCCAAATAGCTTGTTTGAATAGTAGGAAAAAACTCAGTTTCAAACACACTAGCTTTGGATGCAGAGTCTGTACAGTCATGTGTCATTTAATGATGAAGATACTTTCTGAGAAATGCTTCATTAAGCAATTTCATTGTTGTGCCAGCATAATAAATCGTACTTGCACAAACCTAGGTGGTATAGTCTACTCCACACCTAGGCTATAGAGTATAGCCTATTACTCCTAGGTTACAACCTTTCAGCATGTTACTGTACTAAGCACTATAGACAATTGCAATACAATGGTGTCTAAACTTAGAAAAGGTACAGTAAAAATACTTATGGGACCACCATTGTATAAATAGTCTGTCATTGATCTAAACATCATTATGAGCACATGACTGTGGTTCTCTTTGGCTCCATTGTAATTTAAATTATTTCTTTATTTTGAACTATTTTATATTTATCTTATAATGTTGTTTTCCTGTTGTTTTATTTTTCCCAGTATGGCATTTTCTTATGGGCAGTTACAGTCTGTTCTCAGAAGTCCAGGATTTAAACCTTTTTTAAAATCATTTTTAAAAATTTGAACTCTTGGTTTAAATGATATCTAATATGGAAGCCCTATCTGTAAGATGCCTGAAATTGGAGGTGTTGTTTGAAACACTGGACCTGGAGTGCTGTCCTCTAAGCCCTTCTCCAAGAACGGAGCTTGCCACCCTTTCTGATTAGCTTTCCTCATTTATAAAATGGGAATGATATAATACCTACCTATCACAATGGTTCATGGAGGGCTATGACTAATGTTCTCTCCGATTGTAACTTCCTCTTAGTGTGTGTCATGTTCATACATCACAGATTCTCCTGATGATGAGTCATCTAAATATTCTATCATGTGACCAAATTTTTACTATGGAGAATATAGTCACCATAAACCCAGTGCCTTGCGTATTATTGCCTAAAATACTCATTAAAGTTACTAAAGCTGCTATCTCTGCCAGTAGTGACATAATGGTATCTGTTGGACAACAGTGCTGCAGGCCCAGTTGTTTTAAATGTACTTAAGAAATATAAAATGTAACTAAGAATAAGTATCACTATCTCAAAACAAGTCCTCCTAAGATGTTTTCTGGGTTATTCCAGTGTGTTTAGTTTCAAAGATTAGGGAGTAAAAGCAAGTATGTTCCAGATTATGTTACTTATTAACCCTCTTTATGAAAACTGGCTATTACTGCTCCTTGGTGTTCTCAAACTAGCAGCTATTTGAGTAATTAAGTCATCTGGTCAGATGAGGTTTTTCTTTTCTTTTTTTTTTGGAGACAGAGTCTCGCTCAGTTGCCCAGGCTGGAGTGCAGTGGCGTGATCTCAGCTCACTGCGAGCTCCGCCTCCCGGGTTCACCCCATGCTCCTACCTCAGCCCTCCAAGTAGCTGGGACTACAGGCACCTGCCACCACACCTGGCTAATTTTTTTGTACTTTTAGAGACAAGGTTTCACCGTGTTAGCCAACATGGTCTCGATCCCCTGACCTCGTGATCCGCCCGCCTCAGCCTCCCAAAGTGCTGGGATTACAGGCGTGGGCTGCTGCACCCGGCCGAGGTTTTTCTTTTCACTAACATTTTATGTTTTTCATCGGTAGATGGCTTAATGAACTCTGATACCAAGTTTCTATTGAGATTGACCTATCAATTATGTAGTAATGAATAAAATCTTACAAATAATAGTTACAAATTATAAAAACCAAATCTTTTTAAGAATCAGATTTATGAATTGGGAAATTGGTAGATCTATTTTTCACTTGCCAGGGTAGAATGACCTGGTTTATATATGATTTCAGTGATAAAAGATTAAGAAATGGAAATTATCAGTTTCTATTAGAGATATATTTATTAGAGATATTGGTTAGCTGTTGTTCTTCCCAGTATTAGGAAAATTAGAAAATTATTTCCCTTAAGTAATTAAAGGAGATATGATCTGATTTTCAGCATCTGAAAACTACGTTCAGTTTAATTTTGCAACATTATTTGACCCTTTCTGCAAAAGTTTGTATAGTGAAATAAGACTGAAAATTTAACTTCATGATACCTTGTCAGATAATTAGATTCTTTATGTTGTCTTCTAATCTTTAAGGATCCCAGATATAATTTTATGGATTGCTGCTTTGACGATATCAGTCCGTGTGTGCTGCTGCAATAAAATTCCCGAGACTGGGTAATATATAAAGAACAGAAATTAATTTTCTTATTGTTCTGGAGGCTGGGAAGTGCAAGATTAAAGCACTGACATTTGGTGTCTGGTGAGGGCTTGTTGCTGGCTTCCTCCACAGGGAGGCACGAGATGTGCTCTTGCATAGCGGAGAGTAGAAGAACAAGGTAACCCAGTGCTTCATGAAATCTCTTTTATAAAATCCTTAATACCTTTAATAAAGAAGGAGCCTTTATGGCCTAAAGGCCCCATCCCTTAATACTATCACATTGGCAACACTTGAATTTTGGAAGGGACGCATTAATACCCTGGCATATGTATATCAAGCTCGTAAAAATTAGGCGTATCTTTTTTAATGGAATGCCCATGCACTATATAATCTCGGAGGAATTGCTTAAACCAGCTGACAGGCTATATTCCAAATATTGCCTAGATCTACCATAACAAAATTTGTGTTTTAGAAATGTGAGTCAAGAGTATTTAATGTAACATATGGTGATGATATTCATTGTGTCCCTGGGACAGAAGTTGAAGGAAAAGGGATTGTGGTCAAATAACTTAAGAATATGCTGGGTTTTTTTCCAGAAATAACATTTTATCAGATTTTAGTAACTATGATGTTAAGAAACATAAAATACCTACCATAACTTTGTGAACCAGGGGTTATAATCTGCTAACTTGAAAAAAAAAAAAATTTAATTTGTTTCAAGTTCATACTAACATGCCTGCCTGAGTTTAATTTTAATTTTGGAATATGCTGACTGGTTAAGCAAAGCTAATGTTTATTTGAAGATTTCCCGGGGCCTTTAATGTTGTAATATTTATATTTATCAGATTAATCAGTTATTGATCTTACATTGTTTTATGTAATTTTTCTTCCCATCTTCCCTTGCAAAATAATGTGCAAGTTCCACGTCAGATACCACGCTATTTTATTTTATTTTATTTTTTATTTTATTTTATTTTATTTTTTGAGACGGAGTTTCACTCGTTGCCCAGATGGGAGTGCAGTGGCATGTTCTCGGCTCACTGCAACCTCTGCCTCCCAGGGTCAAGTGAGTCTCCTGGCTCAGCCTCCCAAGTAGCTGGGATTACAGGCATGCACCACCACGCCCGTCCAATATTGTATTTTTAGTAGAGATGGTGTTTTGCCATGTTGGCCAGGCTGGTTTCGAACCCCTGACCACAGGTGATCCACTCGCCTTGGCCTCCCAAAGTGCTGCGATTATAGGCGCGAGCCACTGTGCCCGGTCACACTATTTTATTAATGGGAAGAAGGAAAATAATTTCTTCTTTCAAGGGACTTGTATTTGAAAAGTCACCACATACAGGATTTGGACCTGGATTTAGAAGTTTTCAATTCTGTTTCCTTCTTGAGTTTTGTTGGAACTGATGAGGAAGTAAGGTAGAGAAAGAAGACAAATGGGATAGAAAGTGAGGGTAGGAAGGTAGAATAGAAACAAAACTAGATTAAGATTTTTGTTTTGTCAAATTTTCTCTTAAATACTTGTTGGAGTCAGGTTTTGTGGGATACCTATTGATATCTAAACAGATTTTTACAGAATAAACAGGACAATAACTTCTTCCATTAAAGTCTTCTGAAATGGCTTCCTTTTGGTGTTTGGGTGTCCTAGGATCTAGTAGTGGAGAGACTATACTACTCTTATGTCCTCTGCTGATTGAAAGGAGTGCTCTGTTAATTTTTTTAGTAATGTTGTGATTCTGGTCATAATTTGATACTGTTGGCTTTTCTTTTACAGTTTCCTAAAAAAATTGAAACTTTATTCTTTGTTTCTACTCACTTGTCAACACTGTCTGCATTAATGACTTAAGATTTTCTTTTAGAATGTAATTTCTAGTTTTGAAGATTTGACTCCAGAGGCTTATAAATATATCAGAGCATATATGGCATAATTTTTCAAGTTAAACCTGTAACTTACTATTCATTCTACACAAATGTCTGTATTTCAGATGGAGCAGCTATCAGATGAAGAAATTGATCATGGTGCTGAAGAAGACAGTGACAAGGAAGATCAAGACCTGGACAAAATGTTTGGAGCCTGGCTTGGAGAACTAGACAAACTCACTCAGGTTGGACGTAATGCTTGAAAAACTGGTTGAGGATTTGAAGTCATCATTGTGTTAAAAGTTTAATATGCAGAAGAGGATATGGATATAAGTTAAATTTTAAAATATTGCCAGAAAGGAAGAAATGTTCGAACTATTGACAAGTAAATGAAGTCATTCTAGAACAGAAGATGTTAAGAATCTATAGTTATTTTAAGGATGTTAAAAAAAAATACTTGTGAGGGAGGCTCTGTTCATCTAGAGGGATTGCTTAATGTATGTTTCATAAATATGGGATAATTAGCTAAAAACTTTTAAAGCCTGAAATTCAAAAGTCTAAATTTTAGCAAACCCTATTACCTTAGTAAATTTGAATACATTTTCAACATAAGTAATTTCCTTCCACGTAAATATTTTCTTTTTTTCTCGAGATGGAGTCTCACTTTGTCACCCAGGCTGGAGTGCAGTGGCGCGATCTTGGCTCACTGCAAGCTCCGCCTCCTGGGTTCACTTCATTCTCCTGCCTCAGCCTCCCAAGTGGCTGGGACTACAGGTGCCACCATGCCTGGCTAATTTTTTGTATTTTTTAGTAGAGATGGAGTTTCACCATGTTAGCCAGGATGGTCTCGATCTCCTGACCTTGTGATCCGCCTGCCTTGGCCTCCCAAAGTGCTGGGATTACAGGCATGAGCCACCGTGCCTGGCCCCATGTAAATATTTTCTGTGACATGATTGCAGAATACTGACAAAACCTAATTCTAGGCTGCATTTTAAAGCAGTGGCAAAATCTTTTCATTTTGCTTTATTCGATCTTGGGTTTTTAAAAACGGTAACTTTGTCTTCTAAACCAGCACACTTTTTAGAATAAAAGGGTACTATTGTTATTGCCCCAGTAATACATTATATTCAGTATATGAAGATGGTTATGTTTATTAAATAAATTTGACTTCATGGCAATGAGAACATTAGAACAAAACATATTTACTCATAAATAATGTCTTTGGGAAGAACATTTGTGTAAAATTGCATAAGTATGAGATAACTGAAGGAAAAGTAAGGTGGTCAAGGTGGAAGCTTAAAGTACTAGCAGCTTATTTTTGTAGCAATCTAGAATTCAAAGTGATAAACTCTTCATGTAATTCTTGCTAGATCATTTTGAAAGGCAGACATCTTTGTGACCATAATCTGTTAATACTGTATTTGGGGGGAATTTTTTTTTTTTGAGATGGCGTCTCACTCCTGTCACCCAGGCTGGAGTGCAGTGGTGAGATACCGGCTCAATGCGACCACCACCTCCTGGGTTCAAGCGATTCTCCTGTCTCAGCCTCCCAGGTAGCTGGGATTACAGGCATGCGCCACCATGTGCAGCTGGTTTTGTATTTTTATTAGAGACAGTTTCACCATGTTAGCCAAGCTGATCTCGAACTCCTGACCTCAGGTGATCCACCCACCTCGGCCTCTCAAACTGCTGGGATTACAGGCATGCTGGCCAGGGTAGAATGTTTTCAACTCCTACTAGGATTTCATAGATATCATTCCCTTCATCTCTAATCAGAAGAAGTGACATTTTTTTGTCAGAGATGTCTTATATCTGTAATTGCCAAATACTTTCTGTTTAATTCTTAATTTATATGATGTGTGATTTTGGCATAGAGATTATCGCTAGGCTATGCAGTTCTGTGCTGGGAGAGAGAGGAAGCAAAGAAGAGCAAATAGAAAATGATATTGCATGGAGAAAGTATGCAAGGGCCAGCTGACATGTGCGGTGTTCTTGATCATGTGGTTTTATTGTCCATGCTTGGGACGAGGGGCCCAAAAGAGAAAAGGCAGGTAGCTATTGGTCCAGCTGCTCTCGGTGGAGTAGGAACTACATGATGCTCCCCTGAAAGCAGTGTTTCTACTGGTTTGGTACCTTGTACTTTCCCCTGTATTTTAAGTTGCCTGACATAAAAGTGTGAAGAGTCACTAGTGATGTGACTGTTCTTTTCATTATATAAATCTGTCTTTAGAGAGAAAAAAAGATTAAAACCATTGCATAGTGTGACTCACTACTGTGTTGCTTTATAACACTTGGGACGTTTTCAAGAAATGTTTGACTTACGAAGTTTATGGCTAAAACCTCAAGTTTCTTATTTGTGTCATTACTTTAGTTCATTACAGTGTTATCTGTACACCTATATCACGTATTCAGTGGTATGGTATTTTCAACTTAGAATTAAAACAAGTTTAAGTTTTAAAGTGTTTAGGTAGTTGGTCAGTGTTCTAAAAAGTTTGTAAAATTTTGAATGTATGTACATTTTTCTGGAAGAGGGCTCATAGCTTTTATAAAATTCTCAGCAACCCCTTTAAAAAGGTAAAAAGAGTTCATGCCTGGGCAACAGAGCATGACCTTGTCTCAAAAAAAATAAAAAGATAGCATTATAACCCAATAGAATATCCAGCATTCTTTTAAAATTTGAAGCTTATTCAGTACTTACTTTAGATAGAAATTAAAGTTTTAAAACACTAATCCTTATATTTTGTGAATCTATTAAACAAACAATAGCTACTGACCTTTTCTCTGAATTTCTCTGTTGTAAATATCTTTTTTTCTTGCTGTAGAAAGGTTAGAGAGGAAAAGAGTATCATTTAAACTTACAAGTGTAACTTACAAGTCACCCTACCCAAAGTATACAGTATGATTCAAGATTTGTCACAGGCAGTGTAGCTGGGTTACAGTTTGCCCTCATCTTGATAGAACTGGAGAAGGACAAGAACATTTCATCATTGTTTGGACTTGTAATCACTTTTCATTAAAACAATTAGTGAGTCTTGGGTCTCAATAATTTTAAATCCAGAACTGTCCGTTATCTTCAGAGTCCTTCATATAGCAAAGATTGAGGCTTTCCTGGACCTAAACCAAATCCCTTTGAGGAAAGAAAGAACAAAACGCCCTGTGTGGTTTCTTTCTATGTCTTCTTTTTTTTATTTTTAATTTTTATTTTATTATTATTATTATTATTATTATTTGGAGACTGAGTCTCACTCTGTCGCCCAGGCTGGAGTGCAGTGTCGTGATCTCAGCTCACTGCAACCTCCGCCTCCCAGGCTTAAGCCGTTCTCCCGCCTCAGCCCCCCAAGTAGCTGGGATTACAGGCACCCGCCACTGTGCCCAGCTAATTTTTGTACTTTTAGTAGAGAAGGGGTTTCGCCCTGTTGGCCAAGCTGGTCTCGAACTTCTGACCTCAGGTGATCTGCCCACCTCTGCCTGCCAGAGTGCTGGGATTACAGGTGTGAGCCACCACACCTATTTCTTAGCTTACCCTGTCCGTATTCATATACCTCACTTATTTTATAGTGCATGTGTATCAAATGAAGTCAGTCACTGTACTTAATATATTTGAAAAGATATTTACTCTGAACTATGACAGTGTCAAGTGCCTTTAAAAGTAAACATAGGCCGGATATGGTGGCTCATGCCTGCAATCCCAACGCTTAGGGAGACCGAGGTGGGTAGATCACTTGAGGCCAGGAGTTCGCAACCAGCCTGGCGAACGTGGTGACACCCTGTCTCTACTAAAAATAAAAAAATTAGCTGGGCATGGTGGCACGTGCCTGTGGTCCCAACTACTCGGGAGGATCTCTTGAACCCGGGAGGCACAGGTTGCAGTGAGCCAAGCTTGTGGCACAGCACTTAAGCCTGGGTGACAGGATGAAACTTCATCTCCAAAAAAAAAAGCATGTATCTAAAGATTGAAATAAGTATAACCAAAATAATGATGTGAAAAACAATTATACTTTTCCTTAAGGCTATGACTTAGGAGAACTTTGGTTTTATTTATTATAGTGTGGCAGTTCACTTAATCATAAAACAGACTTCATCTTTTTTATATTATTGAAACCTGAATTTAATATGACTATTCAACTTTCTTTTTATAAAGAGTTTGGATTCTGACAAACCCATGGAACCAGTAAAAAGATCTCCTCTTCGCCAGGAAACAAACATGGCCAACTTTTCTTACCGCTTTTCCATATACAACTTGAATGGTAAGATGTAATTGGAAATAAAATGTAAAATAGTGTGCTAAGTCACATAATGTAGGAGCAGTACAGCTACAATTCCAAATATAAAAACTCAATATAAAAGCTACGTGCGTAACTTGACCAAGTTCTTAAATTTCTTTTTTCTTCTTTTTTTTTTTTTTTTTTTTTTGAGACGGTTTTGTTTTTGTCGGCCAGGCTGGAGTTCAGTGGCACAATCTCGGCTCACTGCAACCTCTGCCTCCCGGATTCAAGCGATTCTTCTGCCTCAGCCTCCCAAGTAGCTGGGATTACAGGCATGCACCACCACACTTGGCTAATTTTGTATTTTTTTAGTAGAGATGGGGTTTCATCATGTTGGCCAGGCTGGTCTCGAACTCCTGACCTCAGGTGATCTGCCTGCCTCGGCCTCCCAAAGTGCTGGGATTACAGGTGTGAGCCACTGCATCTGGCCCTTAAATTTCTTGATTTGTGTATTTTATTAATATTACTAATTGAAAATATCACAGAAAAAAGCAAACTAGAATGTAACTAAAAGATAGTTGGTTTTATTAATAATTGACAAACTACATACCCAAGTGGAACCCCATAGCAAACTTAATTGCATTGTTTTCTCACTGGATTAAAGTCCAGTGAAATTACTTGTTAGTAATTTTTAAAGCAGCCACTGTGGCCTTTATCTATTGTATTCCACCTAGTCAAGTTTATAATACTGACCTGTCAGTCTGTAATTTTTTAGACTTTTGACTTCTCTTTTTATGCCGTCAGCTCTTTCGGTATTAACATCTCTACCGAAGCATTGATCATATTAACAATGTATTGAACCCTGTGGTAAAAAGTTGCACAGAGAAATGTGGTTAAAACCATGGAATAGTATAAGATTTTTGTGGTGTTTTTGTCTTTGAACTCATAATTTATTCTTCTTTGATTATTATAAGCCTTAAAAGAGGAGGACTGTGTACTTCTAAAAATTTCTCTTGGAATTTAAAACAAAAACCAGTAATACTTAATTTTATTTGCTTTAGGCCCAACAGAATATATTCTTTTGCTTCATCATCTTCATTTATTAACTTATTTATAATAGAATGTATAAATTCTGGAAACATTATGTGTTGTTCATTGCAGAAGCTCTGAATCAGGGAGAGACTGTGGATCTGGATGCCTTGATGGCTGATCTTTGCTCTATAGAGCAGGAGCTCAGCAGTATTGGTTCAGGAAACAGTAAGCGTCAAATCACAGAAACGAAAGCTACTCAGAAGTTGCCTGTTAGCCGACATACATCGAAACCTGGCACCTTGAAAGGATTATCTTCTTCATCTAATAGGATAGCTAAACCTTCCCATGCCAGCTACTCCCTGGACGACGTCACTGCACAGTTAGAACAGGCCTCTTTGAGTATGGATGAGGCTGCTCAGCAGTCTGTACTAGAAGATACTAAACCCTTGGTAACGAATCAGCACAGAAGAACCGCATCAGCAGGCACAGTGAGTGATGCTGAAGTACGCTCTATTAGTAATTCCTCCCGTTCCAGCATCACTTCTGCAGCCTCCAGCATGGACTCTTTGGATATTGATAAAGTAACACGCCCTCAAGAGCTGGATTTGACACATCAAGGGCAGCCAATTCCTGAGGTAAATAGATGGAACTTTTTCCCTGCTATTTTATTATTGAAATAAAGGAGAAACTATATTAAAATAATGTAATTTTAATTACATTTTTAAATTCTTCTACATTTATAATTTGTCAGAGATACTTCTGAGATAGGTTTCAAGAGTACAGAAGGAATATATTATCAGATATGGTAGTGGCACACAGATGATTGAGAAGAAATTTAGTTTCTTCTTTTTTATTCTCATGACTGTAGTATTTGGAAGTTCTTGAATGGTATTTTTTATTGTAATTTGAGTCATTTCATGTGATTTGAAAATTAAAATGATTCGCAAAGCCATTTATTCAGCTGATAGTGCTTTTAAATGTATGTTGATTTAAAGTAAAACTTAAGAAAACCACTTATATCATCATTGTGGTCCTCCAAGATTCTAGTTTACCGGGTTAACTCCAGTTCATTATCTTTTTTTTTTTTTTGAGATGAAGTTTGTACTCTTGTCGCCCACGCTGGAGTGCAGTGGTGTGATCTTGGCTTGCTGCAACCTCCGCCTCCCAGGTTCAAGTGATTCTCCTGCCTCAGACTCCCAAGTAGCTGGGATTATAGGCACTCACCACCATGCCCAGCTAATTTTCGTATTTTTAGTAGAGATGGGGTTTCACCATGTTGGCCAGGCTGGTCTCGAACTCCATCTGAAACTCCGTCTGACCTCAGGTGATCCACCCACCTCGGTGTCCCAAAGTGCTGGGATTACAGACGTGAGCCACTGTGCCTGGCCGTCCATTTCATTATCGAAGAGTCAGTATGGTATATTGGAAAGGGCCACCAGGTGTGGAATCAGAAACTTGATTCTGAGTTTTCCTTGCCACTCACTACCCATGGGACCTTAAGTGAGTTATTCTCTTAAACATCAATTTCTCACAAGTAAAATGGAGTTCGTAGTACTCTATCTGCCTTCCTGATAGGGTGGTTCAGAGAACCAAAAGTTATTCATAAACAGATTTTTTTTTTTTTTTAATAGACGGAGTCTTGTTCTGTCACCCAGGCTGGAGTGCAATGGCATGATCTCGGCTCACTGCAACCTTGTCTCCCGGGTTCAAGTGATTCTCCTGCCTCAGCCTCCTGAGTAGCTGGGATTACAGGCGCATGCCACCATACCTGGCTATTTTTTGTATTTTTGGTAGAGACGAGATTTCACCCTGTTGGCCAGGCTGGTCTTGAACTCCTGACCTCGTGATCCGCCCACCTCCCTAAGTGCTGGGATTACAGGTGTGAGCCACCGAGCCCAGCCAGAGTTCGTAGTACTATATCTGCCTTCCTGATAGAGTGGTTCAGAGAACCCTAAGTTATTCATGAACAGATTTTTAAAAGATGGAATATTTTTCAGCATGTGACTGGGTAAGGTGGGGAATAGATTTGTGATAACAAGTTTAACAAAAGCTGAGTTTGGTGAAAGAGAGTCCTTTATTGAGTTCTTTTCATCAAAGAGACGGTAATTCTGTCATAGGGTAGCAGCAAGAAAGAAGAAAAGTGGGGCAAAGTTAAGTCAACCTTTCCAATAAGCTTGTGTTTACAATACTCTTAATATGGGATAAAAGAATCTATTTATGAATAATCAGTACTAAAGTAAAATCTTGAATTTTAACTATTACTTGACATCATTGATTTTTTTTTTTTCCTAATTTAATTCTTTGGATTAATTTCCATCAGTCAGTAACTCTTGGTACCCACCCATGTGCGTAACTTTGTTTTTGGTACTGTGGAGCACAAAAGGAGTATTAATCATGGTGGTTTGGAGATAAACTTGAATTATTTCTAAGAAAGTTAGCCAGTCTTATCAATCTGAAGAATAAACTTTCATTTGTTTAAAATGAAACTTATCTAAGTGGTATATATTCTATAGAGAACTTGAAAACTGATTTCTAGGCCTGATGCGGTGGCTCACGCCTGTAATCCCAGCACTTTGGGAGGCCGAGGTGGGTGGATCACCTGAGGTCAGGAGTTTGAGACCATCCTGGCCAACATGGTGAAACCCCATCTCTACTAAAAATAATTAGCTGGATGTGGTGGCGCATGCCTGTAAAATCCCAGCTACTCAGGAGGCTGAGGTAGGAGAATCGCTTGAACCAGGGAGTTGGAGGTTGCAGTGAGCCGAGATCGTGCCACTGCATTCCAGCCTGGCAACAGAGCCAGATTCCGTCTCCAAAAAGAAAAAAAGAAAAAAGAAAACTGATTTCTATTTTGTGATACCTGGGAATTATATTTAGGATATGAGCAGTATTTTGTTAGGGGTGTGCTTTCTTGGCCATTCTTTGTTTTGTACGTTGATATTACTTCCCATCAGTTTACAGTATTTTGAGTTGGGTTAAGATGCATGAAGACACGTTATAAACTAATCTGCGTGTCTGTCTTTCTGTCTGTAAAATGTGCTTGTTATAAAAGTTCATACAATATAGGGGCAAATTGAAGTAAAACATGAGAAGTTCCTCTCTCCCAGCAAGGACACTTCAAATGTTATCTAGTGGTATACATGTATATCACTGTGAATACTGCAAAGAATACTAGTACTCAATGGTGTAATGTTTAATACGAGAGTTTAATGTAAGGTTTGGTGAGTAAACTAGGACTATAGCAGGGAAAGGAGTTAAAAAGTCTTACCTAGCTAGCCTGTTCTTTTGCCTCACCTAGGAGCATAGAAAGGTGGTTTAACAAACCTGGAACTTGCTTCAGTATGCTTTTTTCGTAGGTCTAGTCTGTTCTGATTCAAATAAACTGAGGCAAGCTTTAATATATCCTGAACTCATGTATCAAATTGTCTTTAAATGCAAATACGGTTTTAAAAATATTTTAGTTTTTCATGCATGGCGTTAAATAGTTCTATGAGATATGTTACAGACAACTATCCTCTACCCACAGACACATCATATTCTGCTCCCAGAGGTAAGTAATTTTTGCTTATTTAGTTGACTCTTAGGGAATTTACCTCTTTATCATTAAACCTACATACACGTTGCCATTTCTTGGTTTTTTTTTTTTTTTAGTTGTATGTATTACCTATTGACTTTTCACTCCAGAAGATGAGGGTATAGCTGTCTATACACAACTTCTCACTTCTCCCTTCCTGTTCTTCCATTCTCCAAGTATATTTTGATTGAACTAATATTCAGTGTTTATGTTAAAATGACTATATACTTGCAATTTACTGCTAACCTCCATATACTCTTATGACTACATTCCCTTTCTGGAATATCATTTTACTTTTACTGGAATGAACAGATTTTTTAAAATATTTAATTTTATAGGTGATCACTATTTCAATTTCAGACTTTATCTCAGTTGATTAAATCTCTCCGGTTCAAGCCAAATTGTGTTCCATAAACTACATCTTCTTAAAATTCTATTCTTTTTTTTTTTTTTTTTTGTAGTCTTTGGGATTATCCTTAGGTCTTTTTTCTTAGGCTGGTGAGCTTATCTGGAGAAGGTTCTTCCAGTCTTCTATGCTGGCTGCCAAGTGTTTTAGTAGCCCATTTGGGAAAGAAGGGTTGGAACATGAGGATGGTCCCCATTGTTCCAGTCTGTAAGCTTTCATCAAATCCTTTTAAGTCAGGGTTTCTCAGCTATCAGCACTATTGACTTTTGGGCTAGTTTTCTGTTGTGAGTGGCTGTCCTATGCATTGTAGGATGTTTAGCAGCATCCCTGGCCTGTACACACTAGCTGTCAGTAGTACACATACCTTCTTCAGTTGTGACAACTAAAAACATCCACAGACATTGTTACATGTTCCTTGTAGGACAAAATCCACCCCCAATTGAGAATCACCACTGCTCTAGGCAGAGAGTGTTAACAGTAGGTCTGAGTCCTTTTCTTCATGGAAAAATGACCTTGGATTTTCCTTCTCCTGACATTCTTTTCCTGGACACATACTGGATTAAGAATTAAATATAGAATATCTCCAGGTAATATTGTTTATTGTGAAATTGACCCCTGTTGGTGAATGTATATGGACCAGGAAAACTGTCCATGAATAACTGAATTAGCCTATGAAAAGACACAGACCTTGATTTTGTGGTGTGCAGTGTAACTTTTTTTTTTTTTTAGAGACAGAGTCTCACTCTGTTGCCCAGGCCGTAGTGCAATGGCGCAGTCTGAGCTCACTGCAACCTCTGCCTCCCAGGTTCACATGATTCTCGTGCCTCAGCCTCCCGAGTAGCAGGGATTACAAGCACATGCCACCAGGCCTGGCTAATTTTTGTATTTCTCTTTTTGAGTAGAGACAGGGTTTCCCCATGTTGGCCAGGCTGGTCTTGAACCCCTGACCTCAAGTGATCTGCCTGCCTCAGCCTCCCAAAGTGCTGGGATTACACTTTGGGAGCCACTGCACCTGGCCAGCAGTGTAATAACTATTGTAAATGAGCATGAACGTGTTCTTTAAGGGGCCCTGGCACTTACCCTCATTGGCTGTTACAAGGTACTGCTGGTTCCTGTTGAGCATGAAGTTTCCCTAAGCCAGGGTGTTTTCTGCACTTACCACGTGGTCTCTTTCCCTTACAATGAGCTATCACTTACGGGCCCAAAAAAAAGGGCCCGTGGTGAGCTGTATGGACTCCCTCTGAAGATGGCACGTCTGATGCTAGCATGCCAGCATGCCCTCTTTTTCTTTATACTAAGAGCTGAGTGAATCTGGCTTCAAGCTATAGTCTGTTGGGTCTTGTGAGTGGATATTAATCTGTACCTGAGACCGCTGCTCGTGGGCAAGTGAGTAAAGGAGGGAATCTGAGAATTAACTGCTTTCTTAAACGTGTTTTCAACCTGTGTTTTCTTCCTGCTTTTAGTCTCAACATCACTTGTCTGCTCTTGCTTCTGGGGACTTCTGAGGTTACACAATATAAATTGAGTGCTCCTCTGCTTTTCTCCAGTGCTGGCCCAGCATTCAGCTTTGCTAAATTGGTTACCACTCAGCCATATGCTTATTTTCCCCTCTTCCCACCCCCATTTTAATCCCTGTGAAACAATGCTTCACAACTTGGGCTACTTTATCCTGCTGGGGATAGGCAACATTTTTGGTTGTCCATCAAAGGAATGTGCTACTACTGGCATCTAGTGGGTAGAGGCCAGAGGTGCTGCTAAACATCCTACAGTGCACAGGACAACCCACACGAAGGATAATTATCTGGCCCAAAATAGTGCCAAGGTTGAGAAACCACATTTTAAATCGTGTGGCACCTGTTAGTCACGATCAGCAAGGTGGCAGTTACGGTAAGTTGCATGAAGTTCTTCTGTTGAAAGTTTCTGATAAAGATCAAGAAAGTACCAGCATCAAATCTTAGATTCAAGGAGATATAGGTATCTTTGGCCAGTCCCTTTCTCCTGAACTCCAGGTACATATATTCCATCTCTAATCATTATCTCTATTTGGATGTATAATTGCGCATTACATTTCTCCAGAGAGATAGAACCAATAGGATATGAGTGGGGATTTATTATGGAAATTGACCGACACCATTACAAAGGCTGAGAAGTCATATGACAGGCTGTCTGCAAGCTGGAGACCATAGGATGGTAGTAGTGTGGCTCAGTCCAAGTCAGAAAGCCTCAGAACCAGGAAAGCCCATGGTATAATTATCAGTCTTAGGCTGAAGGCCTGGGTACCCAAGGGAGGCTGCTGGTATAAGGCCTGCGGTACAAAGACTGGAGAGCCTGGAGTTCTGATATCCAAGAGCAGGAGAAGAGTGTCCCATCTCTAGGAAAGAGGGAAGAAAGCACCTTTTCTCTGCCTTTTTTGTTCTATCTGGGGCCCTCAGTCAATTGGATGGTGCCTACCCACAATGACGGTGGGTCTTCCCCACTCAGTCCTGGTTCATACACCATCTCCTCTGGAAACACTCTTCAGAGGCTTACCCAGATGCTTTACCAAGTTCTCTAGGTATTCCTTCATCCAGTGAAGTTGATAACCTAAAATTAACCATCACAAGTAGATTGCTCAAATTTAACTGGTCTAAACCTCAAGTTCTGCTCTTTTTCTTCAAACTTATTTCTCCCACTGTCTTCTCTATCTCAATTGATAGATATTCCATCCATTTAGTTCATAAAGCAAACTCCTTGGAGTCTTTACTTATTTTCTTTCTACCTCTCTTCCAATCCAGCAGCAAATTCTGTTGGTCTTATCTTCAGAATATATCTAGAATATGATCACTTTTCACCATCTTCACTGTCACCAAGCCAACTTCATCTTGATCTAGATTTTTGAATAGACTTCCACCTGGTCTTTCTGCATTCACCTTTCCCTTGACGGTCTATTATCCACACTGCAGCCAGAGTGATCCTTTTGAAAGGTAAGTGAGATCATCTCTTTTCAAACCTAAAGGCTTTGCATCTCAAAGTATAGCCCAAACCCCTATAATGGCCTATAGAGCCTTGCCTGATCTGCTTTCCTGTTACCACTGACCCTATTTTTCTTCCTTCTGTCCCTTACCCCACTAGCCATACTGTCCCATACTTGTTCTCTTCCGGTAGCCAGAGCCTGCCTCTTAGCCTTTGCACTTACTCAACCCTGCCTAGATGCCCTTTCCCAGTCTTCTGTATAACATACTCCTAGCTACCTTCTGGAATTTGCTCAAGTGTCACTTTCTCATTGAGGCGTTCTTTGATCATGCTATTTAAAAATGGAACTCCCCTTACTCTGCCCTATTATTACCTTTTTGTGTGTTTTGTTTTTTGTTTTTTTTTTGAGACAGATTTTCGTTCTGTCACTCAGGCTAGAGTGCAGTGGTGCCATCTTGGCTCACTGTAACCTCTGCTTCCTGGATTCAGTGGATCCTCCTGCCTCAGTTTCCGGAGTAGCTGGGACCTTAGGCATATGACATCATGCCCATTTAATTTTTTAAATTTTTTGAAGAGATGGTGTCTCACTATATTGCCCAGGCACTGTATCAGACTCCTGGGCTCAAGCAATTCCCAAACCTTGGCCTCCAAAAGTGCTAGGATTACAGCTGTGAGCCACCGTGCTCAGCCTTTGATTACTTTTTATCTCTTGGTTTTTTTTTCTCTTTAGTACTTATCTCCATTTAACATACTATATACATTACTTTTTAATTGTCCTCTCCAACTTGAATATAAGCTTCAGGAGGAGAGAGATTTTTCATTTTTTTAATTCCTGATGTACTCATCACATCTAGAACAGTACTTGGCTCATACGCACTCAAATATTTGGCCCGGCGTGGTGACTCACGCCTGTAATCCCAGCGCTTTGGGAGGCCTGAGCAGGTAGATTGAGGTCAGGAGTTCAAGACCAGCCTGACCAATCTGGTGAAACCCCGTCTCTAATAAAAATATAAAAGTTAGCCGAGCTTGGTGCATGCCTGTAATCCCAGCTACTCCGAAGGCTGAAGTAGGAGAATCACTTGAACCCGGGAGCCAAGATCGCACCACTTCGCTCCAGCCTGGGTGACAGAGCGAGACTCTGTCTCAAAAAAAAAAAAAAAAAAAAAAAGCACTTAAATATTTGAATGAACAAACATATGCATGTGTTCATTCCACCATTTTAAATCTAGAAGCCTATACTCTAAAATTAGCAGCATTTTTTTTTTCAGGATGATGACTGTGAAGTGTAACATACATAAAAACTCTTTAATAGTGAACTCTTTTTTCATATCTAGGTTCTCTAGAGCCAGTAATTATACTTAACTGTTTAGAGAAACCCAGCATAGAATAGTGGCTTTTACTGACATTTAGTGATACAAATATTGGTTAAAAATACCAATTTGAAATTAATACTGTTTCATCTTGGGGATATGGGTAGTTAAGTTGCCCATCTAAAAGTAATATTGTGGCTCGTCTTTCTGCCTGTCACCATGGACAGGCACAGTCCAATTTAACTTCTCAAAAAGTTTATCTTTATTACATGCCTTTCTTTTGCTCGGCTTTTGTTAAAATACTGTAC